TCGGTCGAGTAAGTCTAGCAGTTCCGAGACATTCTTGGACGATCCGAGGAGGTCGTCAAGCCACGCGAGCAGGCCACGGAACAATTCGTCCCCAAACATAAGGTGCACGACTGACTGGCAGTAGACCACCGCGTCGGTCTGGCTCATCAAGACAGGTGTCGGCGTGTGCACGCCAAAGGGGGTCATAAAGGAGATATACTCCTGCGACTCGGGATGCAGCGGCAACTGACAGTTTCCCTTCGTCCAGTCGAGGGTAAAATACGCCGTAGTGCCCACGAGACACACCATGGCACTGTCGAGATTGGGCATCGGCCACGGCATCGGCTCAGTGCACGCGTTGATTGGACGACTGTCGATCGTCATCCGCAGCGCCCCCGACTCCTTTTTTGGCACGATTCTTGGCGCCGCGGCCCATGTCGCCCGGTTGTTGGCGTAAACCATGCCGTTCGATAGCAGTGCCTCCACATGCTCGCGCATGTATTCCAGATGCGCCGGGGGATAACGCCGCATACCGCACTTGACCGATGTCGATTTCGGCTTGATGCGCACCTTGAGCGGCTCCACTTTGACAGGTGGGCCTTGAACCGTTCCACATCATCGCCGGTCAGTCCACATGACTCCGCTTCGGCGACCTTTGACATCAGCACCGCATCTTTTTGCGCTGTTCTTCGTTGGTAACGGCCGCGACTTCTGGCGTGGCGCACTCCATGCCGTCGCCGTCAGCGAGCACCGGCTCGTCGGCGCCGAGTCCTGACGTCGTCATACGCTGAAGTTTAGACATGCCATGGGCAGGTGGCTCGTCGTTGACTCAAACATCCCACTCAGTGTCCTTCTGTCGTGCTCCGACGAGCAAAGCGTCCACGGAGAATCCGAGCAATTCCATAACAGGGCGACTAATGATCAGGTCGATCTCCGGCGACGTGTCATCAATCCAGCAGTGGAGACCACGTAACGTCAACGGTCCGCACGTCGTCCCCAGCACGACCGCACCAAATTTGGCGCTTCGCTTCATCCACAGCAGCTCTACCTTGACGCCATACGGTAGACCAGCCGAGCCATTTTATGCTCCGTGACCGTCACGCCTGCGCCCTTCACAGCCAACACGTCAACGACGCCGCGCGTAACAACGTTTACGTCGGCACCCGTGTCCAACAGGACGTTTTCAACCCGAACGAGCGCTTCTACCGTAGCGCCACGATTGGTCGGCAGAAGAGTGGACTTGTCGCCCAGGACAGAAATCCCGTCACGCCACTTCTTGAGTTGCGCTTCGAGTAGACGATCCGCCTCGCCAGGCACCACCTTTGGATACTCCGCGACGCGATGGCTAGTGTCTCCACATTTCAGGCACCCAACTCTTCCTTATTGCTGGCTTTTCTTCCTTGGACTTGCCATCGTCCATTTTCGCCGGGGAGATACCTTTGTCATCCGTTTTACCGCCGACCCCGCTGCCACCGCGGCCACCACCGCTGCGGGCGCCATTCTTCGAGTCACCCTTCGGATTATGGCCTTTCAGAGGGGCCGCCGGAGCTGGCAGTTCCTCAACGCCTACGTAGAGTTGGAAACCCACAGCAAAATGGCGCAGCCAGTTCACAACACGAAAAACATCGTTTTTCAACCCCTTGTTGCGCTGGAGTTGTAACTGCTTTTGCACAGCCGTCTTGAGGGCTTCTGGCTTGACAGCCTTCGCCATGACTTCGACCACAACTTTGGGCTCCTGAGTTAGCACCCATTCCTGGTGGTCTTGTTCCAGCACACGCATGAGGTCGTGCAGTATCCGACCGACACGAGACTCAGCGTCCAGTATCTTCATGTCGAATCGGATGGCGGCCGCCAGGCGCTTCTTCAGAACGTCCAAGTCTTGGGGTTCTTCTTCGAGCGCCGCGTTGAACCAC